GCGTGCTTATTTCCCTAGTCTTGGAACTATCTATATTTACTATTTATAATTTACTCTTCTCGTTCTATTTATAAAGTAGAAAGAGAAGAAATTTTTATTTCTATTTATATATAAATGTATAATTTTACCCTTCATATATTATTATATTGATTTTGTTCTCATAGAGTAATATATATATCAAATAGGGATAAAGTTAAAAACTTATTGAATTTTAAAAGAGATTTAATGAAGTTAAAATTTTTTTTAAGTGACTTATAAATTAGAGTAAAAGAATATAATATAAGTGGCATGGATCTCATTACATGTTTTTTTTTTTTTTTTGCGGCCAGCGCTTACATGTTGACATAATAAAAAAAATAAATTGTACTATACTGCTATTATAACTTATGAATAAATTAATTTTTAAGGGTAATATTTATTTTAACTTGGGTTTGTATGGTGTATGTGGCAAATTATCTTAATACATTTTTATACACAGAATTTTCCAAATAACAATTTTTGAAATCTAAACAATACAAAATACGTACTAGGATTTTAGAAAGAAAAATGTATGCAACTTTCATATATTTATTACAACATGCCAACCCTTGGCAAAAAAAGTTATAATATGCCAATTAACCTCGAATATATATAATGACATTTATTTTAATAAAAAATAATTAATTAGAAATCTCATATACTCTATGATTGACATACGAAGAACGTACATGAAAATGTGCAATGCTCTTCATTTTGCTGGTAAACCATATTATCTCTTTTTTTTTTGGGGCCTGGAACTATGCTATATTCATATCTCAACTTTGTTACTGATTCCTGACATATTTAAAATACTTAAAAAAATACTAATAAACCCAACCTAATTTGCGGCTATTTAATTAATGTCAATGACGTTTTGTTTGGGGAAACTTAACCACCTCCTTATCCATCAAATACTACCGTATTAGACATCAGTTTGGTGGGTTTCATCAAAATTAAATTAAATTGTAGTGTCAGAAATAGAATGCCCAACACACTCACATTAATTGCATTTCCCATATTTCTTCAACTAAATTGGCTGTGCCTTGCGTATGTATAGGGAAATTCTTCTTGACTGGCAGTCATTGCTGAGAATGACTAATTAATATACACCCAAAAAAATTGTAAATTTTGGAGATAAGATACATGTTTGAGAATTGGGGTAGCACCTGAGACTCTTGGAAGTGAGCTAGGAATAATGAAAGATAGTTGGATGAAAAAAAATAATGCTTGATAGAGTTTTGAAGACAGTTGATTTTTTTTTTAACTCAAAAAGTTACTTTAAAATTAAAGCAACTTTTTTCTTCTGATTTTTAGTTTTTGGCTTTTTTTCCCACTTTATAGTAGTATTTGAATCTTTTAAAACTGGCTCTCAATGTATCTTTATGGCAAATTTCCGCTAAACTGATTTTTTTATAAAAATTTATTCAACCATGTATAATATTACATTAATTAATTTTTACCTCAATCTTAGTTTACAAAAGTTAATTAGAAATAAAACAACCTCAAAAGTTGCTGATGGCTTACATTTAGAATTAATTAAACTAAGTTTCTTATTTAATTCTTACATTTATGGTCCGAAGGAAGAAAATATGTTGCAATTGAATTCCTTTGTAACAAAACATCCAGAGCATTATTACTAGAATGATGAAATTATGTTCTCTGAATTAATTTTTTTTGGAAAATCCCATAAAAAATTGAAATTACGAAATCCTAAATTAGATTTGCTAACAACACTTTTATGGACTTCGATAACACTAAATTTACATATAATAACACATCGGTGGTCTATATATATAGATAATAATCAATTATGTCATGCTGAGATTATTGGAGAACATGTAAACACAAGACCACATCTAATTATCTATTAGACTCATCAGCATACATAAATTATACACTTACTTGCAAAAATCATATATTTGTATATTATGCACGACATGAAAAATACAAAAACAAAAACATAACACTGGATATTTACATATAAGCTGTTGTTTTTATCATCATCATCATCGTTATATTACTACTAATTATTATAAAAAGCAATAAATAAATGCTTGACTTATAAAATTTATAATTTGATTTAATTCTGACCTACAGTCAAAATGATAATTAAGGAGAAAATTAGACGGCGCATATTATCATTATAAAAATGACAGAAATACTAATTACTTAAGATTAAAGGAGGACCTTTTATATATATATATATATATATATATATATATGCGCACAAATAGTAGTTACTCAATAATGTATAAATGTGATTGACCATCCAATTATTTATTAATTATATACAAGGGCAAAATATCATTAGTACGTCTAAGAAAGGCTATATACTTAAGTTGCTTCATCTATAAGAGAACAACACAGAAAAATCCAAATCCATATGCAATAAGTAGAAAGAGCTTACTTGTGAACTTTGCACAAATTAAATATTCAATTTTCTTAATCATAAATTCCGAATTAATAGACTCCTGGGGAAGGAGGACATAATTTTTTTAAGTTGACTATTTTTTTTTTTAACTAGCTTTAGTTGTTGAAACATCTATGAATAATATTGAAGAATTAATGGGAAAAAGCAATCGCACACGAATTTCTTAACTTGGAAGATTAAGGAAAATGAAACTTAACCAAACTTTTAAATGCTTCAATTTGCCACTACTCACTAGACAAGCGTCTCGGAGGAGAGCGGCTTCTTTATTATTATAATTGTTATTATTATTATTATTATTAAACAAACAACTCAAATAATCTCACAGTATTATAGTTAACACTCATTATCGTTAACATTTTAATTTGTAGATAATAGAAGGTCTAAACTACTTTAGACTTTATCCACTGAAAGCATTAGAATGAACATGACCTAAAATTCTTTTTATCTTATTAACGATTTATTACGTACTATTCATCAGATATTATTGGATATGTTTTTGCTGTTGATAGCAATTGAAAAAAATAATTATATTGTTCATGACTTATAAATAACATATTTTAATAAATATATTGATATAATAATATAATTAGAACCCAGAGGAGATGGGTTGTCCATGCATCAAACATGGCCAGTGTGAAACTTGGTGTATTTTATAATTAGAATAAAAAAATAAAAAACGTTATGCTTTTAAATTAATAATAAAATATAATTATTTTTAATTAACAATTACATAAATATTAAAAGACTAAAATTTCCTGTAGTATTTCTATTCAATGCACCAGCCAAACGTCCTAAAAAAGTGGTAAAGACTATGGCACGACATGCTAAAGTCATTGAATATAACGGATGCCATATAACTTACAATATTCATAACGTGCAAAAAATAATAAAAAAAATTAATGGTCGCAAAACCAAATAACCAATTATTAGATCTTCAATAATATAATAATAATTATTATTTTGGCCAAAAAAATATTATAATGGAATGCATTATTATTTTGTCTGGCGGGAGATAATGAAATCTGATTAGCAAAGGCGGGCTGTTATGGGGGGTTTGTTAGGGATAATGTGGCTGTGGACCGTTGGATGCTCACCAAACAACGAAAGCCACTGGATGCATCGTACGGCCTGATTTATATGATTTTTATTTTATTTTATATTCAAATGGAATCCCATGCCCAGAATCAAGAATCAGCCTTCACAGATTGTGTTGTTTAATTTATGTTATTACATCAAGATCATATTATTCCATTTTATGTCACCCTTATTTTGTCATTTTCCTTAATTCACTCTTTACCCTCTCTCTAAAGTTAAACATGGTAATAGTAGTTTTAGGCTTTTAATGCATTAATTGTTCTAAGTCAGCCTTATTTCAAATTTAATTTGTATAATATTAACATTTTATTTAACTTAATATATATATAAATAGATGCGAAGATAGTATAATTTTTTTAAATTTATTTTTAAATTTGGTCTATATCGATCTTTATTTGTACTGTCCATGACTTATTATCAACTTTTCATTCATTTGATATTTGATGTTAATATTAATATTAACTGATACTCTCAGCCCAAAAAAAATATATTAACTGATATTCATTTAATGATAACGATGAATTCACAATTTGAATTATGAAAATTAATTAAAATTTTAGTCCAAAAGTTAAGCAAAATAAAGTAGCTAATCTGACTGTATAGGTTGGGCATGATCTTAAAATTTGATGTGAAGCTTTTTCCAACCAAAAAAAAATTGATGTGAAGCTTTGCTCTATAAACTTAAAACGGATTATATGAATGTTGAAAAAAAAAAAGTGTGATTTCCCTCAGCTCATGAAATCTAAGCTTATACACACACGCGCGCTCCAATCCTAAATATAAGACTCTTATACATATTTATATAAAGGTCTTACATTTAGGATTGGAGGAGTATATATATACAAGACTAAAGTATATTCTTAGTTATTTAAATTTGCACAAAGTTTCAATTTAGTTCTTTAATTTTGAAAAGTATAATTTTAGTTTTTTAACTCTAAAATTGTTAATAAAAAAAATGATGATATTGAGATTTTGAATATTGATAAAACATTCCCAAATACAAACATATTAAGTTTAATTTTTAAAATAATTATAATTGTTTCAAAAAATTATTATTTAAAATTAATAATTTTCAAATTAAAAAATTAAAAATATGTTTTTTAAAGTTAGGGACAAAACTCAAAATCTTGAATTAAAAAAGAAGAAGCAAATATATGCTTTAGCTTATTAAAAATAACTGTGATCATGAACAGAGAAAGTTCCCAGGGGGTAGTTCCTTCACCTTGTTAACAACTGAATAATGCTAAGAATGATGCCACTGTGGTGCTTCATGTCCCCTTGGGCCGTACCAGCGAGATTCTCTTCTTCTTCCCCAGCCTCTCAGTCAATTCATGCTCTTTCTCCTTTCCCATAAATAAAGGCCAAAAGCAAGAACATCACATTTTCACCTTCGTCATTTCTCTGTTATTTATATTTATATTTTATTCGTTCACATCTTCTCTTTGATATTGAGAAATTCTCTCCCACTCTTCAAGCAAACCACCTTCAAAGCTTCCACTTTTTGCCATTCTCTCTCCCTATCTACCTCTCTCTTTACTGGGTTTCTGTGGTATTGTTGGTATCAGCTTCTAAATGGGGTTTTCCCAAGAAACCTGCACTGACTCCTGGGAGTCTTCGAATCCACAAAATGCTCCTGATACAGTCACCGATGACTACTACGACTATAACAAGCTCAAGTTCAGAAGCACTTGGAGAAAAATGCTCTGGATGATTGGGTTTGCCTGTATTTCCCTGCCTCGCAGCCGGCGGAAGGCCGGGGTGATGATTCAGGGTCAAGGCAAAAACAAGGCGTGGCTACTGGCGGAGTCCGGCGGTTGTCCGGCGGAGTCGACGAATGCCGACCCACAATCGGTTCACTCATCTTTCAGGTTCAACATATGTTCTCAGGTTGAGCTGGAATCTTTGGAAATGAGTTCTTCCGCTGCTGCGACAGTCTTGATGGTGAATTTGGATAATGGGGTGAGTGAATCTGGAGCTCGGGAGCTAAAATGGTGGAGAATAGATTCATTGAATAAGAGCATATTGCCAGTGACCAATACTCTGATCAGATTCAACTACAGTGAAATCCTGTCTGCTACCCAGAATTTCTCCAAAGGTAATCAAATCTTTCTGGGTTGCTCTATATGAAGCACTTGATAATCTTGCCATGTTAAGTAAGATTTTTCTCATTTTATATTAGATTGTAATTCATTGTTTTGTTATATGGGTAGGCAGAGTATTGGGAAGAGGGGCGTTGAGCTGTGTTTTCAGAGGAAAAATTGGACTTCTGAGGAGTGCCGTGGCAATTAAAAGACTGGACAAAGAAGACAAGGAGTGCGCAAAGTCATTCTGTAGAGAACTGATGATTGCTAGCTCTCTTCACAACCCAAACGTTGTTCCTCTTGTGGGGTTTTGTGCTGATCCAGAGGAGGGTTTGTTTCTGGTCTACAAATTTGTCTCAGGAGGCAGCTTAGAGCGCCACTTGCATGGTGCTTACTTATCTCTGACTCTTTATTTCATGTGGGTTTGTTTCATTTGAGATTGACGAGTTTCACTGACTCATGTATACTTACATTCATACCTATTCACAGGGAAGAAGAAGGGTGTAAAGGGAAATTCACCACTGCCTTGGTCTGTGAGATATAAAGTTGCAGTTGGGATCGCCGAAGCAATCTCTTATCTGCATAATGGAACTAAAAGATGTGTTGTTCACAGAGACATTAAGCCCTCTAACATTCTTCTTTCCTCTAGAAAGTCTCCCAAGGTTAGATGCTTCCTTGGATATCAGATTTAGTCTAATATCATTTGCAAACTATTTCAGGATTTTGATCTCTGCCAATAGTCTTTGACACTTGAGTCTGAGTTAGATCATGCAAGTGATCCTGATGGATTGTTTTGTTATATTACAGCTATGTGATTTTGGATTAGCTACATGGACTTCAGCACCTTCGATTCATTTCCTTTGCAAAACGGTTAAAGGAACATTTGGGTAAAAACTTGACTCCTCTTAAATATTCTGTCAACGTTTTTACCATTTTTTCGTTTTGGAAGATTTGTTTTCTTGTTCCACTTGCTGAATCAGTTTCTTTCTGGGCTTCTGTTTTCTCCCATATAGCTATTTGGCTCCTGAGTATTTCCAACATGGGAAGGTGTCAGATAAGACTGATGTTTATGCTTTTGGAGTGGTGTTATTGGAACTCATAACTGGTAGGAAGCCCATTGAAGCAGAAAGGCCACCAGGAGAAGAGAATTTAGTCTCATGGGTAGGTTAATTCCTTGATTCTTGAAAACTTGTGCTGGTTTGTGATTAGGTTATGGTTGAACCGATTCTTGAAATGGTTTGTGGTTGAGGAAAATCATAACTTGCAAGCACAAGCTAAGCCCTATACTGTGCTGCTCATTGACTTTGAAGAAGCCAATGATGTCTATTTGCCATCAGCTCCTAACGTCAGGATCATTAGCCTATATAATAACCTACCTGTTCATAATTGCTATGAGAAACTGACAGAAAATACTGAATAATGTCTAAAAGTCAGCTTATAAAAAATAATGATGGTCAGGTTGATGTTTTAAATTTTGTCAATGGAAAAAAATTATACTAGAAGAGCTACCTTTAATTTGAGCCTAACAATACTTGAATATGTATTGGTCGTAGTACAAAATAATTCCCCTGAAAATGAAAATCATCCCATCACAGAATCTGTAATCGATTACTAGTTTAAATTTCCCCCAAAAAAAAAAAAAATCTTTCTTGTTAAAAAAGACTGGTCAGCTTGAATAGATGCGAAAAATGGTACATATGAAGATTGAAACTTAGAAGATTAGATAAAAAATGTAGGAAACAAAAAGGCATATACTTGATCATTATTTTGGCTTGTTCTTTAATATTTATCATGTTACATCTCTGAGTAATACCTTTCTTTGGTATTAACACTGTTCAATAATAGTTTGGCTACTAAATTTTGTCCTTTTTTAATCACAGTTGAGCCTTGTTGACTCATATCTAGTCTGGCTTTCTTTGGCAGGCTAAACCATTGCTTCATAAAGGGAAAGAAGCCATTGAAGAACTGATTGATCCTCAACTCAATTACACCTTAAAATCCTCAAACCAGTTATCTCGTATGATTGAAGCTGCAGCAGCCTGTGTCACAAACGAAGAATCTCGCAGACCCGGCATTAACGAGATCATCGCAATCCTGAAAGGTCAAGAACCAGTCTTCTCTAAAAGGAGGAAGCCATCTTTTCGTGTTAATGGATCCGTATTTGATTCTTATACCCAGTTACAAGAAACAAACACAGAGATTAAAAGTCACTTGGCTTTGGCTATGTTGGGCATTTCAGAGTTTGAAGATGATGATTACCTCTTTGGTCGCTAAAACATGACAGCTTAGAAATATTTAAGTGGACACTTGACATGCTAAAGACAGATAGACTAAACTAATCATTAGTTAAACTGCAAAAGTTTATAATCATATCATTGGTTTAGTCTAATGATAATTTTGTAAATCAGGTATGCTTATGAATCTGCCTTTTTTTATTTAATTTTTTTGATAGGATTAGATGTGGAAAAGTGTTGACCTTTTGTATATAGATAGGAGCTCAAAGGAAGATTGTTGGGTTTATATCTTCCATTTGTCCTTTTGATTCTCTTAAAGGGTGGAGTGTGATGGCTTTTTCTTTGTTTTTTTTTTTTTTGTTGCTTTTTTCCTTTTGGTCGGAAGACTTTTATTTGTACGAGATTGTTGTAAGTTGATGGTTCTGAAGCATTCATGTTTAAGAATGAGTAGTGGGATTTTCATTTCACAGAAGAGTCAAGAGATGTTCCAATAACATGTAATGACCGTAAAAGAGAGAGAGAATTTCATTATTGTGTACGGCTTAAGGACATTAGAAATCTTAACACGTAAGAATTTTTAATTAATATTCAAACTCGTTTCTTAATCATGTTTACGAATGATTACACATATCGAAAGCGAAGCGAAATCTTTAAAAAGCATTAAGCATGCTCCTTTATTTAATAATTTTAAAACATAAGTAAATTAATTTACAACTTCTTATGATTTCATTTGATGATTTTTAATCAAGTTCTTGTACTCCACTGCTCTTTAATATAATTTAATTGTTGAGTTGGTTTTGGTCTAAATAAAACCTATTTCTCATATTTATTAATTTTTATAAATTACCTCTATGGATACTCCCTCAATCATAATCAAATAGAAGAAGGAGATGGGGTATTAAGAAAGATGATTATGGTATTTTAGGAAAAACGTGTCACATTTCTTATAGTTAACTAACTTACTTAACTTCTTTAATCTAATCAAATTAGTTAAATGAGTCTTATATTAAGAACCAGAGGAGTAGTTTTTATGTGACTCGTAAAGTGTACAAAAAACCTAATTAAAAATTAGATAAAATTATATAGACCTATGAATTAATTTTTTTTCTTGAATTAAAATATGAGCATGTTAATTTGTTCTCTCATTTAATATTTTAAGACATAAAATGACCTTAGAATTGAGACTCCATGTAAGAGTTGAGACGCCATTGAGAGCACACAGCAAGGGTCTGTTTGGCACAGCATTTTGGGAGGAAAAAGTCATGATTCAAAACCTAAGAGCAGGTTAATGGTTCAGCTTCTTATTTGGTTGTGCAGTAACTTTTAAGCCAAAAGTTAATCTCAATTTGTAAAAATTATAAGTTATTTTGAGTTACTTATAAAAGAAAAAATGCTTTTTAACCGTGGAGGGAAGAGAAAAAAATCATAGAAAAAGAAAAGAGAAAAGTTTTTATGAGTCCCACTTACTTCAATGAAAATAAGATGATAAAACCACTCAATTAAATACTATTGCTATTTATAGGTTACTTATATTGGTAATTTTTCACATTTGCCCTTATTAAAGAAAGGTATTAAAAATATGTTTTATACTTTATCTCACCAATTTACTTCTTTTTTTTTTCTATGCATTTATTAAATCAATATGGATAAAATTGAAAAAAAAAAAACAAAAAAAGCTTGTCAATTTTATGCTACCCGTGACTTCCCGTAATTAAGAACAAACTTTTTTTTTCTTTGATAAATGACTTTGAATAGAGTGGTAAATTGAAGCTTGCAAAAGTGTTCTGAGAAGAAAAATTATATTATATAAATTGATAATTTTTCATTTTACATTATGTAGTAAAAGTTATATCTATTTTGGTGATTTTACAAACTAAACTTACTTATTTAATTATAACCCAAACAACTTTTATGTTTACCAAATCTAACTTTTTCAAAAGTAAATCTAAATATAAATCATATTATCCAATTTAACTTTTACCCAATCTAATTTTTTTAAAAGCAAAATTGAAAATAAGGTATTTTTTCTATCTTCAATCCAAACAGGTACTAAAGTGTTATTTAAGTTTTGACCAAAATAAAAGGAAAAAAAATAAGTGGTATTAGGTGCCGATTGTTTTATTCGACCAAACAAGTGCTCAGTTTTTTTAAGTCTAACCAAATTTTCCATATGCGTAATTGTCAACTAAGGACAACGATCCTTCAATATTATTTCTCCAACTGGAGGCTCAATGGCTCATAGTGTGACAATGTTCCTAGGGACGATTTTTTCTTTTTAGAAAAGCTCTAACTTTAATAATAATGGCCATTTGTTATTATACAGATCATACATGAAAAATAATTGACGACCGAATTTAAATAATTTTTTTTATATTTCCTACTTTCTCACCTTTTAAACTTCTTAACCTTACAATAACAAATCAATTTTTAAAACACAGTAATTTAAGATAGTTGTTAATTTCTTTTTAATATATTATTGTTTTACATATGAATTTTCTGATTTATTTTAAACTTCATTATGAACCTTTAAGACCAGAACAATGACTAATAATTTTCCCATGCCGCATCATCAACCATTTAATAAATAATTTACTTAGGCCTAACAGAAAATACATAAGCGTATCAATTAACATTATATTTTAATTACATTTTTTTAAATATTGTTTTCTTTTCTTTCCTTTCAACAAATTTTTAATAACAACCATGTGCCTTTTTTTTGTACTGCTACACATTATTAACATTGCATAAATAACGCAATGATAATCCATATAACAAAACATTCAAAAAATATTTATATCACAGGTATTCTTTCTTTTAAAGATGTCATAACATAAAGGAAAATGATTCTTTTATGTATGGAAATCTCAAGCAAGCATATGGAGCGTAACGTTTTGCAAGCTTAACTTCAATGCATATTTAATCTAACCACACCAAAATCACTCTTTCATGCAAAACTAAAATAAAAAAAATCCAAAAGTAATTGATGAATTAGAAATCATGGTTTGAGGAAAAGCTGTATTAATCAGCTCTTGAGGAAACGTATTCTTCAATATCATCCCCCCCCCCCAAAAAAAATCCAAACATGCTAAAATCAAATTAGGTCCTTTCGTCAATTTAGTCATATTATAATACGTCTATATCTAGACACAAGAAAAAGAAACCATGTGCAAGAACCACGTTATGTTTTGTTACCAACTTCTTAAAAAAAATGACTGCATCTTCCAAGTCCCCAGGTCAATTATTAGTTATGTATTTATTTATTTTTTCTTTTTTTTTGGGGGGTGTTTTGGAGTTGGATTGATGTGTGGAATGAGATCTGTATTATTGAGTCTGGAACACGACCAACATGTTATCCCAATAAATTGTAAGCAGCAAAATGAAGAAAAAGTATTGTTTCAAAAGAAGCAAGCGACAAATGATAGGACACACCAACCAAAAACTTGGTCTGAGTCTGACCATTCTTAAACAACATGAACAGGAAATGTCCAAAGTCACTTTCCATTAAATTCCAACTACTACTGTCGGTGCTGCTAAAATGTGATATATTACGACCAAGAAGATTGAACAATATATCCTGTTTTGGCACTTTGTGAAGCTAATAGAATATGCGACTTGCTATTAACCAGGGGTGTAGGTAAGGACTAACATATTCAATCAGCAGGCATGTTCATATTGGATACTGATGAACCGAACTTGAGGTAGTAGATGTATGATGAAATTTCATATCAAATAATTAAAAGATCGATCACAAATTCACAATTATGTAAGTGTGTGGTGACTAGTGAGTCCATCTAAAATATAACTTAAACTATTTTGGCCCAGGTGACATACCTTAGGTGTGATTAATCTTTTCTATAAGGTAGCAATTCTGTTCACAAGGAAAACCAACCCATTTAAATGCCCTATACAATGGTTCCTAGAAACTGGGCATTTTATGTTACTGCTGTTACATTAGTCTTCATTAAATATATTTTTGATAAAACGTGTACGATATACTTGCATATGAGCGAACGGAAGACAACATTTGAATGTGCCAAACTGCAGAGGGCTTGGATGGTGTGAATTACAACCGGAGACGAAAGAGATTATTTGAATCCCAGAAACGACCGAGGAGGCCTAATGTCCTACAGTACAAATAGTCAAATACCTCCAAGAAGAGAGGTTTTTTTTTTATTTATTGAGATAAAACTCAGCTCACATAGTGTTATGGTCTAGATCATCCAAGAAAATTGGGTTTGGTTTGGGCCACAATGGTTTTTACACCTAAATAGCCCATTCTCTCAGCCGAAAGTGTTAATGAGTTGGTATACACACACTCATGTATTGGTAAACTTGAGTTGTCATTGTATCAGTGCTTTCAGTTTTGTTGCGCCCTTGCCTTTAGACATACGGAAATGAAAGGACGCCGTGTAGGCTACAGAGAGTACATTGTGGATGAAAGAAAAGTTAATGCTTCAGATATTCCGAAGGAAGCATCAGCAAAATATAAAATGTAAATAAGGCAGAAGTTGCACCGTTCATAAGTTATGAACAGCGGAGCTCATCTTGAACCGTGCAATTACACAGAGCACACTCTAATTCGGCATATAGCAAAAGCTGACGCTTAAAAAACGCATGTTGAAATGAACTAACAGACTGGCAGGAATCCAGGTCCAGTTCTTTATTCAGAGATATGACACAAGTATGATCCCTGCCTATTTATTGAAACAAAATTGTTCTAATCTACACACAAAAGCCACTAGGTGAAGAATTCGCAGAAAGTAGTGAAAATGCCTCATTGCTTAGAGAGAATAGGTTGTAAATTTAGAAGACTGACTGACGCATCGCACTGAGGACAGCTTCCCTTGTAGGCAAAGCTGGTATTGCACCTCTCTCCGTCACGGTCAATGCTCCACATGCATTAGCAAATTTGAGAGCATCTCTCAGTTTTTCCTCTTTCTGCGGGTTTAAACCACAAATAAATCCTGATGAAATTACACAATCTAGACGGCATCTAAAATGTAGAAATGAAATAACTCTTTTTTGGATTACAGTAAAAATGAGATTACTGAATTAATGTAATATAT